GTAAAAGAATTGTGCTTCAGTTGCTGTTAGGAACAGATACAGCTGTTTGATTTCCACTGAATTCTGGGTAGAATGAATATTCTAGCAGGATCAAAATCCAGCCGGTGTTTGCCTTTCCACTACAAACAATTTGACTTGCTGTTAAAAATAGACATGGTCATTGGAATTTTTGGCTTTTTCTTTCTTTTACCACCCAAACAGTTCTAGTTATTCAGGATTCCCTGTAGATGCTGCTTCTGTTTTTTCAGCACTTCTTGGACTGAGTGTGTGACCACACATCATGTGGTCATTCCAGAAAGTGTTTCCAAAAGAACCACTTAGCACTGCTTTGAGCAAACCAGGCAGCTTTGCTATGAAAGAAAAACTGCAAAGTCCCTTGCCCACCATACATTTTCCAAAGTAAGCCCATTCCCACTTCCTTGGTCTCTAGAAGAGTAACGCATTTTTCTTCAAAAAAATGGAAGAAAATTGCCAGAAAAACCTCCTCTGGAAAGACAGCAGGAAAACCGGTGGGCTGTAGACCAATCTGCACATCCCCTAGAGGTGACTTGTATTTTGATGTGTTATTTTCCTTCAAATATCAACAGTCATGCCAAAAAGCAAACCTTCAGAAAATGACATTCAAGTAGGCTAAAGCATAGTCAGATGTGGGTTTCTAAACAGCAGTCTATGAGACAATCATGTGTCCGGGGGAGAAAAATAAGTGGTGGGGGAGAGATGGGGCTGGATAAAGAACACCATCTGAAAAAGCTTCACTTCTGTTTTTGATCTGAACTAGCCTTTCACATTAGCCCTTCCATTCAGCTTTATGTCTTAAATGAAAAAGCAAAGGATGCACAAGATATTTTTCTATCCGGATCGTAAAAATCTGAATATTTTTTCCTGCTTCTGGTCTGGAGAAAGCAAAGAAGAATAAGTGGGCATAGTCTGGCAGTTCATAAAACACTTGAGAATGGGTTCTGGCCTTCTTGGACAAGTCTTCTCCCAAGGAGGAGTGGGCAGAGCAGGACCTGGGTGAAGAGCCATGGGACCCAGGGTCTAACACTGAGATCTTAGAAGAACCATCCTCCACAGCCTTTAAGTCTTCAGTCCTAACTTCTGGCCTCAGGGTCCAGTCCTCAGGAATGTTGTGAGCCACAGAAAGATGGAGTGCCAGATTTTTTGGGAAAAAGTACCTTGGGAATTGTGGTCTACTTCAGAATGATAGTCTACTTCCAAGTAACCCAGTTTCTGTATCACTGGCTTTAATCAGAGCCAACTGTACTGGGGTAGAGACCAGGCATTTTTAAACTAAACTTCCTTCAGAAAGTAGTGCATTCTATCACACTAGGTTTTGCTATTATGTTTCCAGCTGGTTTGATGCTTAAGACCACACCATGCCACAATCAGTACATGAGTTCTTGACACACCCAGCTCTAGCTCTGAGTCTCTCTTGCCAAAGTGTGCTTTCACATCTGTTAGAAAGTTAGTGCTAAATTCCTGAGGTGGAATCCGTAAACTGGCTATCTGCCACAAATTAAGATTTTCAACAATGACTTCGTATCGCCCCATTCCAGGGGAAATGTGGGGTTTTTAAAAGACCTAAGTCTCTAATCTTTATATTAGTGAACTATTAAAATACTAGAGTGGGACTGAGATCTTGAAATGGGATCAAGGAGACCCAACAGATCATCAAACTCATTGAGTAAAAAGTGGAGATACGCATAAATAATATGCCAGCTCATAAAGACTGCCATAATCACATATTAGATGACTCCCCTGGGGAAGAAGATAAGCCCTTGATATCAGCTGAATCAGGTCCTAGCATGGGACTTAAGCCAGAATTAGTTTCCACTAGACTAGGAAAGCAAAGAACTCACTGGTTCAGCCCAGCCCACATAAACGATGCCAGCACAGTTGAATATCAGAGAGATGACAAAATACTTGCGGGTCAGGTATAGTAAAAGGCAGAGGCTCCTTCAAGTCCATCTTGGCTCCTGGGCCCCTATTTTTGCTTTTCTGTCTTTGGCCCCTGGAACCTTATAAAAAACTTGGACTTGTTTGGGTGTTGATTTCTGGACCAACTTATGAGATACTTTTCTGCAACTCTTTGGACTTCTGTAAGTAATCCTTTTTGGAATTTGATTCTGGACAGGTACAGCTATGCTTTAGCAATTCCTAAACTCACTCTGCCAGAGGATAAAACATTCACCTGGTTCACACATTATAGGAAGTGTATAATGATGGTGAAGTGTGAAAGGGACAGCACAAACCTTGGGCACATAGGAAAGTTAAGCAAGAACTAGGTTCTTAAAAAAATGAGAACTCTTCTAAGCATTAGAAATAATGGAGCAACTAGACTTATATCTCAAATACCTTGGGGCGTTTCCATTCCACATTTGCTGGTGGTGGATTGAGATAGAAAAGAGATGCATCAGAAGCAGGAAATTCAGGGTCTTCGAAGAGCTTCTTCTGTTTAAGGCACTGTTGCTTGAGGTCTTCATACTTCTGATTTTTAAAGGGCTTGGCTGAAGTAGAACCCATGGATGCTGTCTGGAGAAAATGGACACATTGTTTTGTAGAGGTGGCTTGTCACAAAATCAGTTTGACTCAGCTAGCGGCACATGACTCTGGGGCAAAGAACAATCATCTTGAAACCGATCTCAAATGATGGATGGTATCTCACAAATACTGGGGCAGCACAGATGATGGCTGTACACTATGGAAGAGCTGTGTATCTAATAATTAATACCATTTCCTCCCTCTCTCCCAATTCTCGTTAAAGCCACATCCTCTCTGGTGGATCAAAGGTTGTTTTGAATAAAAGAAACCCAGAACCTGTAATGATATGTGGGAATGACGCTGGGCAAAGAGACACTGCCAAGGGAACAGTCAGATAAGAGGCAGCATAGCCTGCAGCTGGATAGTGGGTGGGGCAAGAGGCACAGAAGAGAAACTCCCTAGTTTCTTGGGCTGTAAAGGAGACCGGGGGGTGGGGTGGGGGTGGAATTGTACTTTTATATTTGCCAGATTCTATCAATGTAGCTTTATATTAAAGTAGAATTAGCTCATCTGGTTGTGATTCCTATCTGGTTTATCCCACGAGGCCGACAGAACCTAGATGACCAACCTTTCCTCCCACTCCAATACAGATCAACAGGAGAGGCCAAAGATATGTTGCTATTTAGATAACAAAGGATAAGATGACATATGCAAAAAACAAATAAGGAAGAAACACCAGTTTCTTTCCACATGATAAGATAGCACCCTCTATTTCACTACAAAACAGCAGGCTAGCTTAGGTGATGGTCAGTTTGCTGTACAGATCATGCACAGTTCTGTCTTCCAGCACCATCCCATTTTTCCATACCTCACTGACCAATGATTCCTCTTTCTACAGTATATTTTCTATATAGGAATAGGTGTCTGCCAGTATGACTGGACCGCTGCCATGCAACCCACAGCTTTGTGATATTGCAACACAGGGACATGATTTCCATAGTGTGCAATTGCACATGAAGCTGACTGCAAAAAATGTGGTTTATACAAAATATGTAGAGGAACTCTTTCAGAGAAAAGACTTCCATGGAAAGTCTGCGTAAAGGAAGAATATTAGAAAAATCCACAAGCCAGCTCTCTAGAAATCCAAAAAGTCTACAACTATTGTTATGATTGGCTAGAAGCTGGATTAAAAATGGATTTTTATTTATGCTTACATTTTTACTTATGCTGCACACAAGGGGAACAACTGAGCTGGCCATTTGTCAGTGCATGAACATCTGAGAACTTGATGGATCATCAGTTGGAGAGTGGGTTGGTTGGGGGTAAGGGTGTAAATAGCTGAAAATGCTACTGGGAGTGAGTTTGGACATTCTGCCTCCATCAGATTTTGCAACAGCAGGAATGCTATCATCAAATAAAGGCTGCTATGGTTTCTCTTTCCCTAACCAAAAATCCATAAGAATTGTTTGGGACAGGAATTGATATCACTGAAAGTTGCATGCAAATAGTGATAGTTAAAAAAGAATTATATCAGTGCATTTGGATTTGAAAAATAAGCATTGAACAACTAGTACTGGTTTTTAAATAGGCTTTGGCATAATTTATATTAAAAGATATGTAAATTAGGAGCAGATGCATATTAACCCGCCCTGAGACTTTGCAAACATAAGTGGATACAAAATTCAGCATGAATTAAATCCATAGGGAAAGTGTCATGTAGAACTAGAATGTTATTTTTCTGATATTAATCAGATAAAATTGTTAGTGATTTGCAGATCTCCAGATGGGGTGGAGAATAAAACCAGGCACAAACCAAATCAATATTTTAAAAAATGGAACATGAGATTGTTCTCTTGAGTATTTTGGAGCTTATTATCTGGCAATAAAACTCATTGGCACATTATTAAAAATCTTGCCGTGGCCAGACTACCAACCTATTTTATACATATATGGGTATTTAAAAAGTTCCAGGGAAATTCCTCTTCAATCTACCGAGATAGAATTTTAAGGGCAGGTACTACATCTAACTTAATTTTTTGGCACACAGTCCTGCTAGTCATTCCTATCTTCTGAAACTTTAAGAAAATATAGTATTATAAGAGTCTAACAGCTGTGATTCCCTATGTGGTGGGGAGAGTAACAGAATGAGTTTTGCAATCATTACTGACAGGTTCTTTCCCTTTCATGCTTCCTAAAAAAAAAAAAAAATGATTTTACATTGAAGGCATCTCTTGTCCTCCTAAAGACATGCATCTTCACCATCATCCTGGTTATTCAGTACCTCCCAGTTCAGTAATGGAATAGCAATGGAGAAGCAGCTCCAAGGATGTTTCAGATTGGGAAGAATGGACAGCCACAGCGGCTGTGGAGTGTTGGAAAGAGGGGTTGAGGGAATCCAACACTAAGCTCCGATTGCAACCAAAAGAAATTTTAGAGAGATTCTCAAGTATCCCAAGAATAACATAGAAAAAAGGAAGCGTCCTTCACAGAGGGAGCAAACGTTTGAGAAATTGCGAAGTAGAGTCTAGAATAGCATAGTTTGGGTCTTTATATGATGGTTGTCAGGTCCAAATCTGGTTTGAAGATCAAGAACCTTACTAAGTGAAGATTGCCTCACTTGGAAAGCAATCGACATTCCTGAGATTAAAGAATGGATTCAAGATATGTGTTCTTGATCAAGTGGTGGAATGTCTTTATACAGTAAAAATGAAAAGGCAGAGTAATATGTTTCTAGTATAGTCCATATGTAATGATGTGTTTAAGGACTGAATTGACATTTTCTTTATTTATTCAAGTTTATTATTGTCACTCAAGTCCAATAGACCCTTTTTATTAATATCATATGTTTTTCCTTTCCTTTGTTTCCTTCTCCTTCCCTTAAGTTTAGCTTATTTTAACCTCTCTCTCTCTCTCTCTCTCTCTCTGAGTATATACACACAGATACACACACACACACACACACACATATAAAAATTGTGCCTTCAGGTCAATGTTGGCTCCTGGTGACCGCCTGGACGTGTCCCTGCAATTTTATCGACAGTGTTTTCAGAACTGGTTGGCCCTTGCCTTCTTCCTAGCCCTGAGAGAGAAGAACTGGTGCATTGTACTTCACAAATACAATATAATTTTTTTTAAAAAAAAAAAATGAAACTTCTTTTCTTTTTGTAGTACTTGAATACAAAAAACAAATAAAAAGAAAAAATAAAGAACAGAAAGCGATAAAGAAAATAAAGCTAAAAAAATAGTTCAAACTACAAAATACAGGACATATATTTGTGTGTGTGTCTGCGTGTCTGTTCTACATTATGCTTATATGGAAAAGGGAGAGGCAATGAGATTAATGCTTCAGTGAAACATATTTTTGTACAGTGTCCTATAATTGTTCCCTTTTCATGTGGGAAGTTATTATACGCATTAACTCAACTTTGAGACAAGATTTAACATTTTCAGATGTTCCTATTCTTTGAGCTGTATTCCATGGAAATTGACGTCTCGACAGAGGAGGTGGATCCTCTGTGCCATGCATATGACTAACAAATATTCTTCAGCATTGGAAAGATAAATATATAGTTCCCAACTACTCCGTCATCTGCGGGGTTGATGTTTATTCATCATTATAGCAACTGTTCACTTATTGACATAAATTAGCTATGATGATTATAAAGACATGAGACCTTTGTTGCTCATCAGAATTTAGAAGACCACAGAATGAGCAAGTATGAGGGTCATCCTCCGAAAGACTGCTCCAATTTGGGTATTTCTATTCCCCAAAGATGTATTATTATTTTTATTACTATATTTCTGCATATGACTGTCCATGCAGCTTTTATACATATCAGTACCCGTTTTTGTCTTCTTTCTTAGAGTATATCTGCTTTTTTGAGTAACCTGTAACTGGTTTTTTTAATGACATCAGTCAGGCTGACAGAAGTCCACTATCAGCTGGTCAGACCACTGGGAATTAAATCCTAGAAGAAGAGCTTGAGGAACATTTATTCTTCCACCCTCTTCGCTACAGTTCACCACCCCAACATCTTTCTGTGGCAAACCTGTTCCTATCTGAAGACACCCATTTATCTCTCCTGTTTCCTTTGGTGTGATGAACCCAAGTTAGTATAATCAATTGGAGGCAAGGTCCTGTGGATCTTTTTTCTTATCTGTATCCTGGAGAAGCATTGAACCCTAGAAACCCTTGGTTTCTGCAGAGGTGATTCTGCCACAAGAATCTCCCTTGGAGCTGACCATGACATGACAACCATTCTTTGACAATCATATTCAGTGCTAGATTGCCATCTAATCCATGCTTTCTTTAACCACACTTTTGTGAACAAATCACAATTAGTGGGAACTGCACAACATTCTAATCCATTAGCCAGAGGAAGACAATCTTTTCCTCTCTCCACCCCAAAAGAATCTACATTGTCCCCTTAACATTCAGTGGTTTGTGTCAAATTTAAGTACAGTATCAGTGATGAATTTGTGCTAAATTCATTTATTTGTGTCCAGCAAGCTCTACTTCTGGAGGCACCCCTGCCATAAGCTATAAGTTGCAAACCATAGTTACTGGTTTTAATGAACATGCTGACTTAAATCAAAACAAACAATATTATGACTTAAAGCAACGTATGAACCTAGATATTTTCTAACAACAGAGATCAACTACCGTTTATGAATTCTTATTTATTGGTCACTTTTCATTGTAAAAAAAAAAAAAGGGGGGGGGAAGCAGATGATTTACAGTGTGAAACCAACACATTTAAAAACAATTCATTGTCCTAATAAATAGGGCCAGTTGCCCCCTAAGAACAAGAGATGTCCAAGAAAAGTGTACAATAAAAAAAAATTGGTCATGCAATTTTTTTAGAGGTGACAGACAAAGGTTATATCATATCTACGCTTATAGCCCGTGTTGCAGATGGTGGCTGACATTTCGAAACACCTTCCAGCCTCACTGTATTGTTTTCTGTCTGTCCTTAGAGGCAAACAGAGTTTTGTGTACACAATTCCCCAACAAAATCAACACACAAGCCTGCTTTCACAGTCTCTTAATTCCACAGAAAGGGAATTAAGAGACCGGCTGCACTAAAGCTAGATTTTCAATCTTGCAAGCTTGAGATGAACTGTATTTTGTCACTCTTGAAACAAGGTCAGCTAACATTAGAAGTCCACTTCTGAACTTCAAAAATCCAAATCACTACTTGGGGCAGGAAAGAGTTAGGGTTTTTAAAAAAAAATATTGGCTGCCATCTCTTGTTTCCTCTGGATTTTTGTCACTTAGTGCAGGTAGCCCCAACTGATCTCCTTGAAGATTCAGTTTAATAAATGTTGCATATTCAAGGGAGAAATCCTACAAAATTAAATGGATACAAATCGAGACCATTCACTCACCTGAATTAAGGTGACTTTAAGCCATGGAGTTCCTGTTCCGCCAGGCAAACACTCATATGAACAGAGAGTCGCAAATAAAATTCCTAACTTTTTAACCTGAAACCTTTTTGGACTATACCAAAGATCTACTCATGGTGGGGGAGGCTCAAAATAACTTCTGTCCACTTCAGCCTCTCTCTCTCCCTCTTGAATTTCAGCTTGCGAAATGTAATTATGAGTCATGTGGGAACATTAAAAAAAAACACAGCTGGAAAGGAATTCATTTGGTTCATTCCTGGGGTACATCTGTTAAAAAAATTACCACCAACATCCTGTTAAAACAACTACAAATAAATAAATAAGAATACATTGGAAAAAAGGGCATCTTGGGGTATCCTGGAATTCCTTGTGCTGACAAACAGTTGATTAGGGGAAAAAGAGAGAGAAGAACTGGATTTTTTAAATGAGGAAACATGAGTAAAGATGGGATTGGCTGTTCCTTTCTGCTTTTATTTTTTTAATCTGCTTCTTTTATAGCTACATCAGTCAACATTTCTTCATCTGGCAAGAGACAAATGGTGGTAGGTCAGAGATGACACCATGCAGAAAAGGCTTGGTAGCTCTGTTCTTTTAAGCAGGTTTTCATTTCCTTCTCAAGATCTCCAAATCAGTGATTAAAATTTCTGGAGAAGGATGAAGTGTAGGCAGTATGTAGCACAAATTCTTCAAGCTACTTTCTGAGCATGAAGGCAATATCTTCTATTTTATCAGAATTTGGAGAGAGTATCTCGGGCCATTCCTCCTGCTCCCCCCATCTCCCAAGGTTATTCCCACATACCATTACACACGTCTCAAAGGAAGGAAAACACCAGCTTTTAGTAACCTCTTAATTTACAAGAATGTCTCTGGGGCCCACCTGGACCAAATAAACCTTCTTAGAAGAGAAAAGTGAGAGAGACTAAATCAAATCAAATCTTTATTATAATCATAGACCAGCATAAGGAGGGTGGGTACAGTCATTAAAAAAGCATGGAGGATACATCAGAGTAAAAATAAAAAACTAAAAAATATATGAAAAGCTAGAAGATTTAAAAGATACATGAATTAAAAACAGAAAGTATACCTAAAAATACAAAAATCTAAAAGAAGGGTTAGGAGCATTAGATGGGTATAAAAGTTTCATAGAAAAAATACTATGATGAGCAGAGTTGCTTAGAAAAAGAAACGTTAGGGATACTTACATAATATATAAGGATCCAGGACCATCTTCAACCAGTTCCCAACCACCCAACATGGGTGTCCTAGAAGGGCCTTTTAATGTCCCCCCATTTCCTCAAGATAAGCCGAGGTGGAGACTCACAAGCATCATTTTTTGGATTACTGTGCCTGGTTTATGGAATACCCCCCCCCCCCACGAACGGCTCCAATTTAATGACATTTCATGAACATCTTAAAATATAATTACTTAGAAGGTTGTTTCAATTGTGATTATGACATGTATTTCTTTGTTTTCCTTAGCTGGTTTATTTTTGTCATGTCTGTTATCTCTTTGGTTATATGCACATTTTAAAGTGCTATTTCATTGTAACAACATTATACTGTGGACCTTTTAAAGTAATGAACTGAAAGATGTTGCAAGCCGGCAAGAGTTGTTTTTGGTGGTGATTCACAAATAGGTTCGATTCTAATCAATCAGTCAAGGGAGTTGGTAGTATAATTTGGATAAATATATGTATTGGTTCTAGACATTGTGTGTCCTAGGATTTAAGAAAGTCTGCATAATTCCATTGCCCCTAATTTATCTCACAATTCTTTGAGGTGTATTAAGCTTGAAGAAACACTGATCTTGAGTCACTTCGTAAGCTTCACACCTAAGCAGAAATGCTTAATTGGATCCCATTCATTTCACAGTGGCAGTCAGAAGTTGTGAAATGATCTGGAATGGACTAATCAGTTGTGCGCATTATTCATTTAAGTTTTAAGTCAATAACTCCAGATGACAAGTTGCAAACTAGCTAAATTAACACTTCTTATACCCACCACTCTGGTCCTTATCTTAGATGGGTAGGGACACAAGCTTTGAAGCTAGGAGGGAAGAGAAATAGGCCGTGCTTTGAGTAAAGAAGCATTCGTTCCATGGTAAATCTATTGTCATCCTTAGGAATTACACTTTTTAATAATTTCTGAGTTTTATGATAATCAGTTAAATGAAAATGTGTCCAGTTTATTCACATTGGTAGAAAGGGGTGTTCACCGGGATGGGCAGGTGTGTGTCCAAAAAAGTCTGTATGGAACTGCAACTGCATGATCAAAGCCCTGTTTCTTTTTTACGTGCATGACACATATCAAAAAGGGGCAGAGCTTTGACCACGTGGTCATGACCACCATCTTGACTTTTTGGACCTTCTCAGAAGATGTCCCTGTCAGACTTGGTGCACTCTTGACCAAGTGTTGTTCTCTCTTTCCCCATCTACTCTTCTTTCTCTCCCTTCCAACCTACTTCTCTACTCTTCATAATTTATTTATGACTGCTGACATTTGCAAATGCTTTTGCTGAAGGCTGTTTGCTGTCTCTTTCTCCAGAGTGCCTGTGCTGATCGCTCGTTATTAATTGTACCACCCTCTGTGGATTGCTGAAACACACATGAACTTGTCATCCAGCAGGGAGCCTCCAATGGCAAGATGTTCATTTTGTTTTTCTCCCGTTCTTTTAAGTGCTTTTGCTTGGAGAAGGACCCAAGGGACAGGGCAGTTTGATCTGCAAAAGACTGTGCTACCTGTTCAGATGTCAAGATGGCAGAAGACAGGATTGTGTGGCCCAAGGGAATCAGAATTCAGCAAAGGCATCTGTTCAATTCAAAGCTAGTTCAATGGGAGAGCCTTTTTAAGTCCTTCCTTCCTTCCTTCCTTCCTTCCTTCCTTCCTTCCTTCCTTCCTTCCTTCCTTCCTTCCTTCCTTCCTTCCTTCTTTCTTTCTTTCTTT